GTGTGTGTCGTGTGTGTGGTGTGTGTGGTGTGTGTGGTGTGTGTGGTGTGCGTGGTGTGTGTGTGGTGTGTGTGTGGTGTGTGTGGTGTGTGTGGTGTGCGTGGTGTGTGTGGTGTGTGTGTGGTGTGTGTGGTGTGTGTGGTGTGTGTGTGGTGTGTGTGTGTGTGTGGTGTGTGTGTGGTGTGTGTGGTGTGTGTGTGGTGTGTGTGGTGTGTGGTGTTTGTGTGGTGTGTGTGGTGTGTGTGTGTGTGCTGTGTGGTGTGTGTGGTGTGTGGTGTGTGTGTGTGGTGTGTGGTGTGTGTGTGGTGTGTGTGGTGTGTGTGGTGTGTGTAGTGTGTGTGGAGTGTGTGTGGTGTGTGTGGTGTGTGTAGTGTGTGTGGTGTGCGTGGTGTGTGTGTGTGGTGTGTGTGGTGTGTGTGGTGTGTGTGTGATGTGTGTGTGGTGTGTGTGTGTGGTGTGTGTGGTGTGTGTGGTGTGTGCGTGGTGTGTGTGTGTGTGGTGTGTGTGGTGTGTGTGTGTGTGTGGTGTGTGTGGTGTGTGTGTGTGGTGTGTGTGTGGTGTGTGTGGTGTGTGTGTGTGGTGTGTGTGTGTGGTGTGTGTGGTGTGTGTGGTGTGTGTGTGTGGTGTGTGTGTGGTATGTGTGTGTGGTGTGTGTGTGGTGTGTGTGGTGTTTGTGGTGTGTGTGTGGTGTGTGTGGTGTGTGTGGTGTGTGTGTGGTGTCTGTGGTGTGTGGTGTGTGTGGTGTGTGTGTGGTATGTGTGGTGTGTGTGGTGTTTGTGGTGTGTGTGTGTGTGCTATGTGTGTGTGGTGTGTGTGGTGTTTGTGGTGTGTGTGGTGTGTGGTGTATGTGTGGTGTGTGCGTGGTGTGTGTGGTGTGGTGTGTCTGATGTGCCATGCGTCCTGTGTCTGTGTGGGGAGCGGTGGCGCAGTGGTCAGCGCACCGCTCTACGAACCCCACATCCCGGGTTCTATCCCCGCTCACGGCCAACACCAGGGACGATTATCTGAACCAGTCGTGGGCCTCCCTCAACTCGACCTTAAATGGGGAGACAAAGACGGCCGGGCGTGGTGTTGGCCACCCACCCTTCATGTACTATGCCGGCCTTCATAGGTGCTCGCTAACAGCACTTGCCCCAACAGTCTGTTACAGGCTATACGTTGGATCTTTGTCTTTTTCTGTGGTGGTGGTAGTTGTGGAGGTTATGGTGATGTTCCCTGGTTATTTAATTCATTATTTATATTGAAGGAGATGAGCGGTGACGTCGAGGTTGGCCTTGGTGGTGATGTTTTGGTGATGGTGGTGATGTTTTGGTGATGGTGGTGATGACCGTTGCGGTGGCGTGGTGATGATGGTAGTCACGATTGTGAGGATGTTGGTGGTAGTCACAGTGATGGTGGTGTTGGTGGTGGTGATGGTAGTGATGATGGCGAGGATGTTGGTGGTAGTCACATTGATGGCGGTGATGGTGGTGGTGATGGTGGTGACGATGATGAAGCTGTTGGTCGTAGTCACATTGATGGCGGCGATGATGGTGGTGGTGATAGTAGTGATGATGGCGAGGATGTTGGTGGTAGTCACATTGATGGCGGTGATGGTGGTGGTGGTGACGATGATGAAGCTATTGGTAGTAGTCACATTGATGGCGGTGATGGTGGTGGTGGTGATGATGGTGAAGCTGTTGGTGGTAGTCACATTGATGGCGGTGATGGTGGCGGTGATGGTGGTGATGTTGGCGAGGGACGTGAGGGTCAAAGGTGTCACTCCGCCACACCCTCTGCCCTCCCCCCATCTCCACCCCCACCACGGGGGATCGGGTGCTGGGGAGCACATCGAATGGGGGTCACGGGTGACGCACACACATAGCCACACAGACAAAGGTCCCCCATATAACCTCCAATGGACTGTTAGGGCAAGTGCTGTTGGCGAGCATCTTCATACAGTACAAGCAGTGCCGGATGAGTCGCTACTACATATCTAGTAGCTACTCATCTACTACACATGTAGTAGTAGCTACCACTACATATGTAGTAGCTACCACTACACGTGTAGTAGTAGCTACTACACGTGTAGTGGTAGCTACTACTACACGTGTGGTAGCTACGGGCCCCGCACTTTCAAGGGCCCCGCGCTAAATGCTTTCAAGCTGTCAATTCCCGTTCAGTGATTCTGCACTTGCTCTATTACTATAGTACTATAACGCCTCAATTTTTATGAACGACTGGGTGTTTAAGGTTAGCGATTTGTCGTATTATCTGGTTGTATAGCAAATTAAAAAAAACTACAATTACTTTACGATGCAAGTTACAATTTTGTGTTTAAATCTTTACGTGTATTTTTTTTATTTAGGGTCCCTTTCTAATATATGCTACAGGCCCATGAACTAGCTTCATCCGGCACTGCATACAACGTGCACACAACACGTGCATACCCCCACACACAACACGTGCATAACCCCCCCCCCACACACACACAACACGTGCATACCCCTCACACACACAACACGTGCATACCCCTCACACACACAACACGTGCATACCCCCCACACACACAACGCGTGCATACCCCCCCACACACACAACACGTGCATACCCCCCCCCCCCCACATACACAACACGTGCATACCCCCCCCCACACACACAACACGTGCATACCCCCCCCCACACACAACGCGTGCATACCCCCCCACACACACAACGCGTGCATACCCCCCTACACACACAACACGTGCATACCCCACACACACTGCAGGTTACAACACTGACTCATCCACCTACTCACCACACTGCAGGTTACAACACTGACTCACCCACTCACTACACTGCAGCTTACAACAATGACTCACTCACTCACTCACCACACTGCAGGTTACTCACTCACCCACTCACTCACCACACTGCAGGTTACTCACTCACCCACTCACCACACTGCAGCTTACAACACTGACTCACCCACTCACTCACTACACTGCAGCTTACAACACTGACTCACTCACCCACTCACCACACTGCAGCTTACAACACTGACTCACTCACCCACTCACCACACTGCAGCTTACAACACTGACTCACCCACTCACTCACCACACTGCAGCTTACAACACTGACTCACCCACTCACTCACTACACTGCAGCTTACAACACTGACTCACCCACTCACTCACTACACTGCAGCTTACAACACTGACTCACTCACCCACTCACCACACTGCAGCTTACAACACTGACTCACCCACTCACTCACCACACTGCAGGTTACAACACTGATTCACCCACCCACTCACCACACTGCAGGTCACTTCCATTCTCTCTCCGCTCCACTCTGGAATCCCCTCCTCCCATCGCCTTCGCCTCTTTCCTCCCAGGGGCTCTTAACGTCACCTCGCTCAACTCACGAATCGCATTCACCATCATCTACGACAACTTTAATCGTGCTGTGTGTGGCTGACCGCTTGACGTTTTGGACCTTTCGGGCCTGTTCACATCAACTGTTTAAACAATGTATAAACATACAAAGTCAAAGATCCCCCGTAAAGCCTGAACAGACTGTTGGGGCAAGTGCTGTTAGCGAGCACCTATGAAGGCCGGCACGGCACACGAGGGGGTGGGTGGCCAGCACCACGCCCGGCCGCCTTTGTTTCCCCAGTGGCGATGATTGCACACCGCACCAGGTACTCATTTGAGGCCGAGTCGACCTAGGGGAGGCCCAGGATCCGGTTCAGATAATCCTCACTGGACGTTGGCCGTGAGGGGGAATCGCGCGCTAACCGCTACACCGCTACACCACCGCTCCCCACTATAAACATACACACACAGATCCTCCTTTAGCCTTGAACAGGCTGTTGGGGCAAGTGCTGTGGGCGAGAGTAGCACGCCTGAAGGACGGCACGGCACACGAGGGAATTGGTGGCCGACACCACACTCGGCCGCCTTTGTCTCCCCGGTGGATGTCGTTTGATCAGCCGTGATGAACAGGGTGAGTCATGGACTCGGCGTCACCACGAAGCGGAGAGATGACGGTGGTGATGATGACGATGTTATGATGATTGTGTTGTTGTTCAATATTATTACGACAGTGACGATGACGATCAATATGATGCTGCTGATGCTGCTGCTGATGATGACTACCATGATGATGTTGCTACTGCTGATGACAAGGCTGCTGATGATGACTATGATGGTGTTGCTACTGCTGATGACAACACTGCTGATGATGACTATGATATTGTTGCTACTGCTGATGACAATACTGCTGATGATGACTACTATGATGGTGTTGCTACTGCTGATGACAAAACTGCTGATGATGACTATGATGATGATGATGATGTTGCTACTGCTGATGACAAGACTGCTGCTGATGATGACTACTATGATGGTGTTGCTACTGCTGATGACAAGACTGCTGATGATGACTATGATGGTGTTGCTACTGCTGATGACAAGACTGCTGATGATGACTATGATGTTGTTGCTACTGCTGATGACAAGACTGCTGATGACGACTACCATGATGGTGTTGCTACTGCTGATGACAAGACTGCTGATGATGACTATGATGATGGTGTTGCTACTGCTGATGACAAGACTGCTGATGATGACTATGATGGTGTTGCTACTGTTGATGACAAGACTACTGTTGATGATGACTACTATGACGGTGTTGCTACTGCTGATGACAAGACTGCTGATGATGACTATGATGGTGTTGCTACTGTTGATGACAAGACTACTGTTGATGATGACTACTATGATGGTGTTGCTACTGCTGATGACAAGACTGCTGATGATGACGACGACTATGATGGCCACACCAGCATTGCCGCTGCTGCCGTGTTGCTGATTATAGTTGGTGATTATAGTTGGTGATTATAGTTGGTGATTATAGTTGGTGATTATAGTTGATGACTATAGTTGGTGATTATAGTTGGTGATTATAGTTGACCGCATCTCTGTAACCCCTCTCGCCCCACCACCACCTTTCATTCCCTCGTCCCCTGCAGGCCGCGGCAGGTGCGATCGGGGTCCCTCGATCTTGAGTTCGCGATGGAATCATCGTCAGTGGGCCACCGTGCCGGCATCCAGCCCTCATCTACTTGATCCCCCTCGATCCTTTCGACCCCCTCTCCCACCTCGTCCCCGACGCCGCCTTGATCTCCGAGTCCAGCGTGGCCGCCACCACCGCCGCCGGGCCCGGCGTGAGATGAGACACGGGACGAAGCGAGAAGACACGCGGGGGGGAGACTCGAGGGGAGGCGACGCGGCTGGGCACGGCCAGAGTGTCTCACGCACGGGATGAGGACCTTTCGTCATCATCACCACCAGCACCAGCCGTGTCATCGTCGTCGTCGCCATCGCCTCGTGTCCACGCTGTGGCCACGGTCATCGCCATCATCACCGACATCATCACCGACATCATCACCGTCCTCGTCATCAACCCATCGCTGTCTCTCTCTCCAGGTTTCCCTTTCATTCCATCTTTCATCGCTGGCTCTTTAATTTCTGCCTGGCTGGAGACGAGGAGGTGGAGCAGTAGGCGGAGGAGGAGGAGGTGGTGGTGTGAGAAAAACGGGGATTTGGCGGTGAGAGCGGAGAGTGAAGGAGCGAATTCTGCGCCCTCGTTTCTTGATTCTTTTTGTTGTTGCTTTTGTCGTCGTTCGTGCATCGTCGTTGCTGAGCGCGGGCGCAACGGCCCGACTTGCTGCTCCCAGAGTTCCACTGTTCGTAGACCGCACCGTGGACTCGGCCTCGCCGCCTTCCATCCATCCACCCGCCGCTCAACCCTGCCCGCTCGTTGAAACGCGGTTCGTCATCCCGGTCCCGAGTGCAGTCTTCCGCATCCCCAACTCGTGGGCCCTGTCGACTTTGCTGAGCCGTGAAAGACTTCTCGGCGTCGACAAGAGACAGGCCCACGGACACGAAGGCGGGCGGTCACACGGACCCGACCCAGAGAGGCGGAGAGGGGCCGATTCACCAAAGTCCATCGAGGCCACAGGAAGGATTCAGGGTCACAGAGACCCGCCACCAAACTCGCCCAGCAGACGGACGCAGTAGGGGATGGACAGGCGGACGGACGCGTTCTGATTAGAATCCTATTCAAGTGTTGTGCTTTTCACCTATTTGACGTTGCTATTTCATCCTTCATTCATAACCCACTCCCGCCCACCCTCAAATCCACCCACCGCTCACCACCAGCCCCGCACGGGAGTTGGTGGGGGAGGTGTGGACTGATCCTCGGAAACCCACAATGGCCAACAGCTCCGTCGACTACAAAGCCAAGGGGGCGCGGGCCCCCCAACCGGGCCCCCTTGGCCAAGACGGCGGCTGTGGCGGGGGCCGTGGCGCGGGCCGGGCTGGGGGTCCCGCGCTCCCCACCGCCGCTATGGAGGAGCAGGACGCCGAGGGGGGGTTCGGGGTGACCGTGCGCGAGCTGCGGGACCTCATGGAGATGCGGGGGGCCGAGGCGATGGCCCACATGGCCGAGAGATACGGGGGCAGCGGAGCCGGGGGTGGAGCGGGGGACGCGGTCGTGGGGATGTGTCGCCGGCTCCAGACCTCGCCCGTGGACGGTGAGGATGGTGATGGTGGTGGTCATAGTGATGGTGGTGATGGTGGTGATAGTGGTTAGTGGTGAAGGTGGTGATGGTAACGGTGGTGATGATGGTTGGTGGTGATGGTGGTGATGGTGGTGATGGTGATGATGGTGGTGATGGTGATGGTAGTGGTGATTGTGGTGATGGTGGTGGTGATGCTGGTGATGCTGGTGATAACAACGCTCACAACAACCAACGGAGCGCCGGGCGACTAAAACACAGCAAATTGGCATATTTGGCACAGTAGGGGCACGGGTGGGGCATCTCCCAGTCATCTCAGTCAGTCAACCCATGGCACCTGCCGGGTCGGTCCCATGACCTCCTGTCACCAGCGAGCCTTCGACACTCCACGTGGCCGCAAAGTGCACCTGGCCTGGCACAGGTGCCATGTTGACGTCACCGTCACTTAGTAGCGAATGACGCGTATTTGTATTGGATGTGGTGCTGCTGATGGTGCCGGGGCTGACAGCGGCGGTGGTGTTGACGGTGAGGGGTAGTGCAGCGGTCCGCGCGCTGCGAACACTGCGACTCGACTTCGATTCCTGATTACGGCCAACAACCAGTGACGATTAGATTATCTGAACTCGTCCTGGGCCTCCTCTAGGTCGACTCAGCCTCAGATGAGTACCTGGTGCGGTGTGTAAACACCGCCACTGGGGAGACAAAGGCGGCCGTGCGTGGTGTTGGCCACCAACCCCCCTTGTGTGCCGTGCCGGCTTTCATAGGTGGCTACTCGCTCACGGCATTTTCCCCAACAGTCTGTAAAGGCTACACGGGGGGGGGGGGGGGGGTCTTATATGCATGTCTATGGCTCTCTACGTGTCTCCGTGTGCATCTCTATGAGTTTACTATGAGGCCCATAGTTAGACGGGGGTGGGGTGGTCGGGTGGTGGAGGGTGCACGGCCACAATCGCACCACCGTGGCTCGCGCCTTTAATTTTGTGAGAAACAGCAACACGGTCGGCTCCGTCGGCCTACGAAGCGTTACCCACCCCCACCCCCCCCTTCACCCCCCCCCCCCAACTCCCCCCTTCACCCCCCCTCTTCGCCCCCCCCCTCCCCCCAGGCTTGTCGGGTGACGAGGAGGACCTGGTGCGGAGGCGTGCCGTCTTCGGGGAGAACGTCATCCCACCCAAGAGGCCCAAGTCGTTCCTGGCGCTCGTGTGGGAGGCCCTGCAGGACGTGACGCTCATCATCCTGGAGGTGGCGGCCCTCGTCTCGCTGGGACTCTCCTTCTACCAGCCGCCCGGCTCCGACAGCGATGGTGGGCACACGAGCCCCATTGAGCTGGTGGTCTGGATTAGGCCGAGCCATTGCGGCTGGGCTATAGTGCCAAGGTTATGGTGTCAGTGTCAGGATTATAGTCCCGTCACTAACCCTAGTGTCAGGGTGAGTGACAGGACTATAGTGTCAGGGTTAGTGACAGGGCTGTAGTGTCAGGGTTAGTGACAGGGCTATAGTGTCAGGGTTAGTGACAGGGCTATAGTGTCAGGGTCAGTGACCGGGCTATAGTGTCAGGGTGAGTAACAGGGCTGTAGTGTCAGGGTTAGTGACAGGGCTATAGTGTCAGGGTGAGTAACAGGGCTGTAGTGTCAGGGTTAGTGACAGGACTATAGTGTCAGGGTTATTAACAGGGCTATAGTGTCAGGGTGAGTAACAGGGCTATAGTGTCAGGGTTAGTGACAGGGCTATAGTGTCAGGGTTAGTGACAGGGTTATAGTGTCAGGGTGAGTAACAGGGCTATAGTGTCAGGGTTAGTAACAGGGCTGTAGTGTCAGGGTTAGTAACAGGGCTATAGTGTCAGGGTTAGTAACAGGGTTATAGTGTCAGGGTCAGTGACAGGGCTATAGTGTCAGGGTTAGTAACAGGGCTGTAGTGTCAGGGTTAGTGACAGGGCTATAGTGTCAGGGTGAGTAACAGGGCTGTAGTGACAGGGTTATTAACAGGGCTATAGTGTCAGAGTTAGTGACAGGGCTATAGTGTGAGGGTGAGTGAAAGGGCTATAGTGTCAGGGTTATTAACAGGGCTGTAGTGTCAAGGTTAGTGACAGGGCTGTAGTGTCAGGGTTAGTGACAGGGCTATAGTGTCAGTGACAGGGCTATAGTGTCAGGGTGAGTAACAGGGCTGTAGTGTCAGGGTTAGTGACAGGGCTATAGTGTCAGTGTTAGTAACAGGGCTATAGTGTCAGGGTTAGTAACAGGGCTGTAGTGTCAGGGTTAGTGACAGGGCTGTAATGTCAGGGTTAGTGACAGGGCTATAGTGTCAGGGTTAGTGACAGGGCTGTAGTGTCAGGGTTAGTAACAGGGCTATAGTGTCAGGGTTAGTGACAGGGCTGTAGTGTCAGGGTTAGTGACAGGGCTGTAGTGTCAGGGTTAGTAACAGGGCTATAGTGTCAGGGTTAGTGACAGGTATGTAGTGTCAGGGTCAGTGACAGGGCTATAGTGTCAGGGTTAGTGACAGGGCTGTAGTGTCAGGGTCAGTAACAGGGCTATAGTGTCAGGGTTAGTGACAGGGCTATAGTGTCAGTGACAGGGCTGTAGTGTCAGGGTTAGTAACAGGGCTGTAGTGTCAGGGTTAGTGACAGGGCTATAGTGTCAGTAACAGGGCTATAGTGTCAAGGTCAGTAACAGGGCTGTAGTGTCAGGGTTAGTGACAGGGCTATAGTGGCAGGGTCAGTAACAGGGCTATAGTGTCAGAGTCAGCGACAGGGCTATAGTGTCAGGGTTAGTGACAGGGCTATAGTGTCAGGGTTAGTGACATGGCTTTAGCATCAGGGTGAGTAACAGGGCTGTAGTGTTAGGGTTAGTGACAGGGCTGTAGTGTCAGGGTGAGTAACAGGGCTATAGTGTCAGGGTTAGTTACAGGGCTATAGTGTCAGGGTTAGTGACAGGGTTATAGTGTCAGGGTGAGTAACAGGGCTGTAGCATCAGGGTTAGTTACAGGGCTATAGTGTCAGGGTTAGTGACAGAGTTATAGTGTCAGGGTGAGTAACAGGGCTGTAGTGTCAGGATTAGTGACAGGGCTATAGTGTCAGGGTTAGTGACAGGACTATAGTGTCAGGGTTAGTGACAGGGCTGTAGTGTCAGGGTTAGTAACAGGGCTGTAGTGTCAGGGTGAGTAACAGGGCTATAGTGTCAGGGTTAGTGACAGGGCTATAGTGTCAGTGACAGGGTTGTAGTGTCAGGGTTAGTAACAGGGCTGTAATGTCAGGGTTAGTGACAGGGCTATAGTGTCAGTGACAGGGCTATAGTGTCAGGGTTAGTAACAGGGCTGTAGTGTCAGGGTGAGTAACAGGGCTGTAGTGTCAGGGTTAGTGACAGGACTATAGTGTCAGGGTTATTAACAGGGCTATAGTGTCAGGGTGAGTAACAGGGCTATAGTTTCAGGGTTAGTGACAGGGCTATAGTGTCAGGGTTAGTGACAGGGTTATAGTGTCAGGGTGAGTAACAGGGCTATAGTGTCAGGGTTAGTAACAGGGCTGTAGTGTCAGGGTTAGTAACAGGGCTATAGTGTCAGGGTTAGTAACAGGGTTATAGTGTCAGGGTCAGTGACAGGGCTATAGTGTCAGGGTTAGTAACAGGGCTGTAGTGTCAGGGTTAGTGACAGGGCTATAGTGTCAGGGTGAGTAACAGGGCTGTAGTGACAGGGTTATTAACAGGGCTATAGTGTCAGAGTTAGTGACAGGGCTATAGTGTGAGGGTGAGTGAAAGGGCTATAGTGTCAGGGTTATTAACAGGGCTGTAGTGTCAAGGTTAGTGACAGGGCTGTAGTGTCAGGGTTAGTGACAGGGCTATAGTGTCAGTGACAGGGCTATAGTGTCAGGGTGAGTAACAGGGCTGTAGTGTCAGGGTTAGTGACAGGGCTATAGTGTCAGTGTTAGTAACAGGGCTATAGTGTCAGGGTTAGTAACAGGGCTATAGTGTCAGGGTTAGTGACAGGGCTGTAGTGTCAGGGTTAGTGACAGGGCTGTAGTGTCAGGGTTAGTAACAGGGCTATAGTGTCAGGGTTAGTGACAGGTATGTAGTGTCAGGGTCAGTGACAGGGCTATAGTGTCAGGGTTAGTGACAGGGCTGTAGTGTCAGGGTTAGTGACAGGGCTGTAGTGTCAGGGTTAGTGACAGGGCTGTAGTGTCAGGGTCAGTAACAGGGCTATAGTGTCAGTGTTAGTGACAGGGCTATAGTGTCCGTGACAGGGCTGTAGTGTCAGGGTTAGTAACAGGGCTGTAGTCTCAGGGTTAGTGACAGGGCTATAGTGTCAGTAACAGGGCTATAGTGTCAAGGTCAGTAACAGGGCTGTAGTGTCAGGGTTAGTGACAGGGCTATAGTGTCAGGGTCAGTAACAGGACTATAGTGTCAGAGTCAGCGACAGGGCTATAGTGTCAGGGTTAGTGACAGGGCTATAGTGTCAGGGTTAGTGACAGGGCTATAGTGTCAGGGTTAGTGACATGGCTTTAGCATCAGGGTGAGTAACAGGGCTGTAGTGTTAGGGTTAGTGACAGGGCTGTAGTGTCAGGGTCAGTGACAGCGCTATAGTGTCAGGGTTAGTGACAGGGTTATAGTGTCAGGGTGAGTAACAGGGCTATAGTGTCAGGGTTAGTTACAGGGCTATAGTGTCAGGGTTAGTGACAGGGTTATAGTGTCAGGGTGAGTAACAGGGCTGTAGCGTCAGGGTTAGTTACAGGGCTATAGTGTCAGGGTTAGTGACAGGGTTATAGTGTCAGGGTGAGTAACAGGGCTGTAGTGTCAGGATTAGTGACAGGGCTATAGTGTCAGGGTTAGTGACAGGACTATAGTGTCAGGGTTAGTGACAGGGCTGTAGTGTCAGGGTTAGTAACAGGGCTGTAGTGTCAGGGTGAGTAACAGGGCTATAGTGTCAGGGTTAGTGACAGGGCTATAGTGTCAGTGACAGGGCTGTAGTGTCAGGGTTAGTAACAGGGCTGTAATGTCAGGGTTAGTGACAGGGCTATAGTGTCAGTGACAGGGCTATAGTGTCAGGGTTAGTAACAGGGCTGTAGTGTCAGGGTGAGTAACAGGGCTGTAGTGTCAGGGTTAGTGACAGGACTATAGTGTCAGGGTTATTAACAGGGCTATAGTGTCAGGGTGAGTAACAGGGCTATAGTTTCAGGGTTAGTGACAGGGCTATAGTGTCAGGGTTAGTGACAGGGTTATAGTGTCAGGGTGAGTAACAGGGCTATAGTGTCAGGGTTAGTAACAGGGCTGTAGTGTCAGGGTTAGTAACAGGGCTATAGTGTCAGGGTTAGTAACAGGGTTATAGTGTCAGGGTCAGTGACAGGGCTATAGTGTCAGGGTTAGTAACAGGGCTGTAGTGTCAGGGTTAGTGACAGGGCTATAGTGTCAGGGTGAGTAACAGGGCTGTAGTGTCAGGGTTATTAACAGGGCTATAGTGTCAGAGTTAGTGACAGGGCTATAGTGTGAGGGTGAGTGAAAGGGCTATAGTGTCAGGGTTATTAACAGGGCTGTAGTGTCAAGGTTAGTGACAGGGCTGTAGTGTCAGAGTTAGTGACAGGGCTATAGTGTCAGTGACAGGGCTATAGTGTCAGGGTGAGTAACAGGGCTGTAGTGTCAGGGTTAGTGACAGGGCTATAGTGTCAGTGTTAGTAACAGGGCTATAGTGTCAGGGTTAGTAACAGGGCTGTAGTGTCAGGGTTAGTGACAGGGCTGTAGTGTCAGGGTTAGTGACAGGGCTATAGTGTCAGGGTTAGTGACAGGGCTGTAGTGTCAGGGTTAGTAACAGGGCTATAGTGTCAGGGTTAGTGACAGGGCTGTAGTGTCAGGGTTAGTGACAGGGCTGTAGTGTCAGGGTTAGTAACAGGGCTATAGTGTCAGGGTTAGTGACAGGTATGTAGTGTCAGGGTCAGTGACAGGGCTATAGTGTCAGGGTTAGTGACAGGGCTGTAGTGTCAGGGTTAGTGACAGGGCTGTAGTGTCAGGGTTAGTGACAGGGCTGTAGTGTCAGGGTCAGTAACAGGGCTATAGTGTCAGGGTTAGTGACAGGGCTATAGTGTCAGTGACAGGGCTGTAGTGTCAGGGTTAGTAACAGGGCTGTAGTGTCAGGGTTAGTGACAGGGCTATAGTGTCAGTAACAGGGCTATAGTGTCAAGGTCAGTAACAGGGCTGTAGTGTCAGGGTTAGTGACAGGGCTATAGTGTCAGGGTCAGTAACAGGGCTTTAGCATCAGGGTGAGTAACAGGGCTGTAGTGTTAGGGTTAGTGACAGGGCTGTAGTGTCAGGGTCAGTGACAGCG